AACAAAAATATAGCATCTATATGTAAATTAAAAAAATACAGTATATATATGTCAATAAAAAAAAAAAAAAATACAGTATATATACATATATGTATATAATGTATGATTTTATAAAAAAAAAAAAATGATTAATTGATTTTTTTGTTTTGTTTTGTTTAAAATCCTTGCGTAAAATCTCATTGAACAAAATTCATGATTTAAAATTAGAATTTTTCTCAAACGTATTATTTCATAGAAAAAAAAAAAAAAGAAAAAAAAATGTTCAATCGATATTACGCAAAGTTTCATTGTTGTAAGAGTAAACAGAGTCACATGTCGCATCCGCCATGTTTAACATTCATCTAATTGGGTACATCCGGGATTTGATAAAAGAAGCAGCATGATGATCCTATCGTTTATTTTTCTTTTTCTCTTTTTTTTTATTTTTTTATTATTATTTGCGTATCACGTGCATATATCAGGAAGAAAATGATTTTTCGATTATTTTCAATTTCAAAGAATTTTCATAAGATAATAAAGCTTATAGCGCAAGCAGGCTAATTATAAAAATAAGTTTGTTGTTATTATTTTAAATACTCTCAGAGAAAATTATTAAAAAAAATAAAAGGAGAGAGAGAGAGAGAGAGAGAGCGAAAAAGCGAAAGAAAGAGAAAAAGAAGCGATGTAAGTGGACAGGAAATACAGAATGTGAATGTAGAACGTGTTTCGTATCATGAAAATGAATGGGACTTATGTTAAACATTTATAAGATTATTATACCAATGCGTTTTAACAGAGTACGTATTTGTTACAAATGTTTTCCTATTTTTTTTTTTTTTTTATTCTACGCTGAAAGCATGAGGTTGATGACGTAAACATAGCTCGTTCATGAATAAAAAGCAGAATGTGTGATGGTTGCTTGTTGCTTGATGGATCCGTGCTCATCATTCAAAGCATTTTTCGTTTTTTAATTATGTTCCGTCGAAAAGTTACGAATAATCATCGGTCCCCTTTTTTTTTTATTTTTATTGATGAGAAAAAATGTCGAAAAATGTTATTTCTCAAAAGAAAAAGAAAAACAAAACAAAACAAAACAAAACAAGAAAATAAAGAAAGAAGTAACGAAGACAAGAATGTAAATATTTATTAAAAAAAATAATTAAAAAAATTTATTGATAAAAAATTAATAAAAAAAAAAAAAAATAATAAATACGTAAAAAAAACTTTTCTATTTCTTTTTTCTTTTTTTTTTTCTAACTGATATTTTTTTGGGAATTTTTGTATAAAAATTTTGATAAATGCACACATCACAATTTGTGCGATTTTAATGAATATTTTAATACTATATTATTTTATTAATTATTATAATTGATGATTAAATTTATTTAATTAATGTATTAATTAAAGAATATTTATCAAATATTATACGGAAAGGAATTTACAAGAGAAGATATTTGTTAATGAACAATTAATTAGTCAAGTTTAATTTGCAGATCAATTGAAAAATTAATTGATTAATTAGTAAATCGATTAAAATAAAAATGACTTGTTGTTCTTCATTGTTGTTTAGTAGTTAAGATGTGTTTTAATAACAAGCGTGATGAATGAAGAAGCTTAATGTATAATTGTGATAATTAAACAAAAAAATAGAAGAATAGAGAGAAAGAGAAATAGAATAGAATAATTCCTTTTTTTTTCTTCTTCTTTAAATGCTGACAAACATAAATCGTTCGTTCATTTTTTTTTTTTTTTTTTTTAATTGCGATGTTATTTCAACGATTAATTCATTCGACACTATAAAATCGTGCAATTGACGTTGCAATTTTTCTAATCTATAATTAAATCTTATATTGCAAAGAAACTTGATGATTGGAGTCTTGTCGAATCACCGAATTTAAATTTCTTTTTTTCGTAATACGTAAGAAAATTTATTTAAATATCAAAATTGAATTATTATATATGTATATATATATATATTTTTTAATAATCGTAGAAATAAAAACAAGTAATTACAATTAGATAAAATATTTATATTAATGTATATTCGTTCGTATATAATATTACAAAATATATATATGTACTTTATTTATAACAATTATACTAATAATAGAAGTGTAATATTTTACGTAAATATCTAAATGAAATTCTTTAGTATATGAATAATAATAATTATTATTATATTAATATTAATTAACAATTAATAATTTAATAATTAATTAAATTTAATTTATTAATTAAATAATTAATAATATTATATATTTTGTAATATTACATTAAATATTAATATATTTTCGTATGGTGATTCGTCAAACTCTTTTCGACAAATTGTAAAATAATAAAAAGAAGATAAAATAAAAATAGGAAAAAAGAAAAAATTGTATAAAAAATAATAATAATAATAATAATAATAATAAAACCCACAGAGAGCATTCAATCTCAAAGACAAATTTTCTTACAAAAACATAACATTACAATACACCTGCTGTTTACCTTGATGACTAAAAAACAGGATCAGATAATCTCGATAGATTAGACGAGAGAACTCTAATCACTGAGAGCATCTAAACAGTCAAAGCGGATTTTACCACACTTCCTGAATATATTATTATTATTATTTTTACTGTTACTTTTTTTTTTCCATTCTTTTTTTCTTTTTTTTTTCTTTTTTTCAAACGTTTCATAAAGAAAGTAATATAAGATAATAATATTCTTTTTCATCTAGTGTTGTTACTTATTTCTTTTCTTTTCTTTTTTTTTTTCAAATATATATATTTGTTCATTAGTTCGTTTTTAATTTTTTTTTATTTGTTTGTGTTGATTTTTCATTTTTATTATTTTTTTTTTTATCTTCAGTTTTGTGCGGACGCTCAAATAATAATAATAATCTCGTCGTTCGTTTTCGTAGAACACAACAACGACGTAATATTTCGTTTTTAAACTATTGAACGCGTTTTCTTTCATTTTTTTTCTATTTTTATTTTATTTGTTTTTTTTTNTTTTTTTATCTTATATCCTCATAGCATGTACCTGTAACGAAGAAATTCTTGAATTTTAGACATCTCCTGAGTGTCCATTGAACATCAGCCAAGTATCATCACAGCACGGCACACTTGCAGCATGTTAGAGATAGAAAGATTTTTTTTTTTTTTTTTTGATCAAGTATATCTTTTAATTCTTTTCTTTTTTCTTTTTCTTATTCTTTAATCAATTTATTCGCTTCCTATTATTATTATTTTTTTTTTTTCGAAAATTCAATACCCACAAATCAAATTTGTTGACAAGTGTTTCTCTCGTGTTAATCAACAACACAGCAGCTGTGCAACGTTAATAATAATAATAATAATTATTATTATTATTATTATCGAATAAACATTTTAACGTAATATATAATATCTTCAATTTATCTTACTTCTTCTATTTGTTTGTTTGTTTTTTCTTTTAAATTTAATTTAAACTATTGATCTTTCTATCCATAAATCCAGTGTGGTATTAGCGAGAAAGATAGATAGATAAAGATAAAGATAGCATAAAGATAGAAAAAAGAAAAAGATTAACCTTTGCTTAACACACACTTGGTCCAAAGGACCCCCCCCACCCAGACCTTTTTAGCAACTTCAGTCATTTTTCTCAATTGTTCAACTTTGATAATTTTTTTCAACATATTTACATTTAATTTAAAGTTATAAAACTTATATAATCTTTTTAAGTAAGTATTAAAGAAATTTTCAAAAAAATGTTCAAGTAAATCTATGCAATAGTTTTTTTTTTATAACAATTTTTCTCGTCCGGGTCCTTTGGACCCGAGTGTGGTAAGCGTGTTAATCCAGGAAGGATGGTAAACAAAGGTTAAGGAAAGAAATGTAGGAGAGAGAAAAAAGAATGAATGAATAAAAGAAAGAAAGAAAGAAAGAGAGAGAGGTAGGAAAGATAATTACCAATGCGATTAATTTAATTTTAACGTAGATTATAGTCGTGTGTTAGATGTCACTAAAGGGACTTTCCATTTTGAGTATACACTGTTGCACACTGAGGAGTTGATGCTTGTGTCATTACTGGAACAAAGCCAGTATTTTCGTATTTCGTACATACACATACTGCAAATATCACACACCTTGACAAGTTCCAATGTCCAAACAATATGGACTGGCAAATAATGTCACATTTACATATTATTTATTTATCGACGATGAAATGATTCTTTAATTTGCTTTTTTCTTTTCTTTTTATCATATTACCTTGAACAAATTATACGTCTCATTTGCAAACCCATATCGTTGTTTTTATAAAAAAAAAAAAAAAAAAAAAAAAAAAAATAAAGAAAAAAAAATCCTAAAAACAACATGTTCATTTTATTGAATCAAATTATTTTCATTCGTTCGAGCTCGTAGCTTTCAGCGTATATTATATTATCCTAATTAATAATTTATTTGAGATAAAGAGATAGATTTATGGAAACATAATATATATATATATATATTATACATCCACATGTACTGCAATTTCTGTTAATTTTTTTCATATGAATTTCCCTTTGAATGATATCGGATTGTTTGGAAAGTTCGTGCAGGATTTTCGCTAAGTGGCATAAAGTTCATTTGCTAAAAAAAACCTGAGAAGTTTTGGAAGGACAAAATTGTGAATTTACCCATAAAGATGGAAGAAAGGATGTAAAACAGAATGACAATTATATAATATAAACAAAATAGAATAGATCACACGTGTTAGAAGTGAAAACCTTCTTAAAACCTTCGTTTCGAGAGAATAAGTCGAATGCAGAGTATCAGGAGTAAGATAATTGTAGGATTTATTTATTATAAAAAAAAAAAAAAAAAACAACTTTGCTCGTGAGAAACATGGATAATCTAGTGGCCAGTCGAAGAACTAACTTATATTTTTAAATGTGTGGAATTGAAACACACACATATACAACACTTAGTAGCCAGGAGTGGGGATTACGAAGCACCGCATAAAGAGGAAACCGAGATAATAAGAAACAAATGCATACTGTCTTCTATCTCATTCTCTCTTAGGTTAAATCTTATAGATGTGCATATGTTTGTCTCATTTTCTCTTTTTAGTACCTTAACCGTTTCATCGTTTCATCGTTTCGTTGCTCGTTACCATGGATTTTCGTTCGCTTTTTTCAAATTACCTTCCCATCCTAAAGAAGTTTTCACTTCAAAAACTTAAATGTTTCAATCTTCCGTCGAAATCGGCACGAACTTTTCAGACAACCCAATAGTTTTTCAAGATCATCAGCGAATTATCATCAAATATATTTCATTTGTTTTTATAAACGAGTTTAAACAACAGTAATTAATAATAATATTAAAAATGACATACCTTCTGCGCCGCAAAGATGCATTCTGACCAGGTAAAACAAATTGACCACGTGGTATTACCATCCTTGCGTTACCCTTTGCCGGTCTCGAACCACCATGTACCTGTAGCATACTCAAGTGTGCTGCATAACCATCCTGAAGTATTGTTGCTAATGCGTGATGTTTTTTCGATGTACTACCAATAACGAATATTTGATTGGGTTTGAGATTTATTGACGTGTAAACACTTATATCTTTGCTACTACCGTACGCTTGATGTATTATCACACCGTGTTCCTGTAATCACAAAATATTTTGTCATTCATTAGTAATTGTATTTCTAATTTCTTAAAGTTTGATCGATTGAACAAAATTTTCAATTTGATCGAATAATATATTGGATTGTTTGAAAAGTTCGTGCCGATTTTGCGGTAAGTGGCATAAAGTTCTTTTGCTAAACAAAACCTGAGAAGTTTTGGAAGAACAAAATATTCAAGTTATCCTTACAGATGGAGAAAGATTGTGGAACTGAATTGCACTTATATATAATTTAATAAAAAAAAAAAATTAAATGCGTTCAAATATTTGCATTTCAATCTTTCGTTAAAATCGGTACGAATTTTCTGGACAACCCAATATACATTGAAGCAAAACAAAAAAGTTCAATTGGGATAGATTGATTGATTGTTCGTTGTTATTTTATTTACCTGAACTAAATTATTTAAATACGCTGCTTTGTGACCAAGCGGATCCGTGGAAAGACCATCTGCGAAGGACACCAAACCATGAGGAAAATTATGCTGAGATAACCAAGATAAAACTTTCTTCTGTTGCATATCAGGTCGTGCAGTAATGTATATAATTAAATAGCCTAATTCCTGCCAATGCCTATAATAAATAAAACAACAAATTGTTCAAGTGTTTGATAATAAATAATTATTGAAAATTTCATAAGTATTAAGGTATGATATTATTTAACAAATATTTACCTGACAACATCAACAGCACCAGCTCTAACTTTAGGATCCTTTCCGGTAACTGACATACTTGCTGTGAACGAACCATCGATACTGAAGACCACACATTCTGTTTTCGGAGGTATCACAGCCATAAAGAAATCGACAGATGTGTGATCTCCTCTAAATATCAATAATATTTGTAATATTTAATTAATAACAATGGGTAAATGTGTGTGCCAATTAATTATGACATTTGATTAACAATAAGTCCCTAATAGCACAAAATATTGAAAAAAGATATTTAATGTATTTTTAATATTAAATACACATGTATTCAATAATATTTTTCATATTTTTCAATATTGTAAAATAAATCAGTTTATACAATAATTCACAATTATTTCAATCTTTTCATTCATTGTGTTAAATGAATTGTCATAATTACTGTTACACAAGTAAATAATTTATATAATACAATTATTGATATCGTATTACCTAACAATCATTTTAACAGGATAAAGACCATAACCGAGAACCTTGTCATCAGGTATTCTATATGTTATTCTACCATTTTTATCAGTAATTTCAGTAGATAAAAGGGTCCATTCTCCAACAGGTGGATCTTTCATAATATGAATGTCTACTTTTTCACCTAAGAATATTAATTAAACAGCTAGTTCAATATTACATTATTTATATAAACGTTATTGGAATTACAAAATTATGATTAATCGTGAATGTTATTTACCTGTTAAAGCAATTACGTCTATTGGACTGTACATAAATCTGGCAACTAATACTTGAGCAGCACCTTCTTTAACGATTACATCATTGGCTCTATGATTAGCAGCAACGTTCTGAACAAAATGTTGTTTCATTTCATTAATAACGAAGATACGTATTACATTAAATAATAATAATAAGAATTATTAAGTTGTCCCAAATACAAATACGAACCTTCAGCTTAACCGAAGTGCGTTTTTTGTTCCATTTTTCTCTAGGTTGACCTGGACGGAAACAGGAGAGTTCTTTTTCTTCGTTACCGAGCATAGGCAAATCGAATCGACCTAACTGTCTTAATATAAATGCTATTACGTCTGATGATTCCCAATAACTAGCATGGAATAGATGAGGTAATGCGTTTGTAGGAAAATTTGCCAGACCCTCTGGACAATATAGAGCGTAATCTATTCGTTTGGTGCCCCACCATTTTTGTGTAACTAAAATAAATTAAAAAAATAAAATAAAATTAAATTAATTTTGTGTAACTAATTTTTTTCTTTTATATATATATATATATGTATAATATTATATATAACTTTATTTTTAAATTTATTTTAAATTAATTATTAATTTATTTTATAATATAATAATTTATAAAAAATATTATATTATATTATATTAATATAAAAAAAAAATATTATATTTATATAATATAATTAATTT